AGAAGTAGACCCATCTTGAGCATGGAAAAGAGGAAATAAATGCTCACCTTCTTAGGAGCCAGTGGAATAAGATAGTGGCCCTGCTTTGGCTTGAGTTTAGGTTCCAGGCAAAAGGAAAATACAGCAGCAGGGTATATAGTTTTCACTGTTAGAAAAAGGAAAGCATGCTAATTCTTCAGGGCATTCAATGAGAATTTGAAAAACTTTTTTATAAGGCAGTTGGCATAAGAGACAAATCATGGAAACTGCCCTTTCTAGTGTTTACAGCAAATCCTGTTTGATACACGCTGAGGCCGTAGGTGAATGTATAAATCGGCGCAGGTAATTCTTAGGGGGCAGAAGAAAAGCTGAGAAAATGATGCAGATCTCCTGGTGCCTGGAAAGTGATTCAAGACTAGGACCTAGTTAAGTATAGGTGGTGATTAAAAGGCTCCTTAGATAATCTCCCATAAATATCCCTCCCTTCAATTAAGCCTTTGATAAGAGTTAACTAGCCGTGCCAAATTCAAGGTTATCCTCTTTGAAGCAGTCCTGGAGGGCTGGTGTTCTGTGTTGGGGCTTGTTGGGTTAAGGCTGTCCTTTGTACCGTGTTTCCCCGAAAACAAGGCAGGGTCTTCTATTTATCTTTCCTCCAGAAGACACCCTAGGGCTCATTTTCAGGGGATGTGTTATGTTTTTTTTTTAAGCACGGTACAACCATCTGCACTGATTCAAACACAGTGAAGTCGTCTTTTTCTGGAACATCATCCTCACTCTCCAGACCCCGAATCCCATCCTGAATGTCTTGCGACTCTGTTTCCTTTAGAGCCACCGGCCCCGATCCCTCCTGTCGAGCACTAGAGCTCTCACGGGGCGGATGAGAAGGGCTGCTCGTGTTCTTTCCCGCTCCGCGACGACACGCATGGGTTGTGCAGATGCGCTGCGCAGCCACGCCTGTCACTAGGGGTGATTTTCATAGCCACGCCCATCGCTAGGGCTGATCTTCATAGCCACGCCCACCACTAGGGCTGATTTTCGGGGTGGGGCTTCTATTGTGCACATGCTTACACATCCTGCTAGGGGCTTATTTTATGGGTAGGCCTTATTTTCGGGGAAACACGGTAGTTGCTGTGTTGCTGCTAAGGTACTTAGTTACAGACACAGAATTTTCATGGAAAAAGTAGAGAAGGCATTTGGCATTTGCAGCGATACCTTGTTTCATTTATCCTAAGACGCTTTTTTCCATTATGAATAACCTTTCTTGGAAAAGCATCTCTTCCGTGGTGTGCAGTAAAGATAACTCAAGAACACACTTTTATCTATTCTGTCTAGTTCTTGTGAACACGTTTTAGTGCCATTTCTCTCCGTACCTCCTCCCCTCCCAAAAAAAAATCAGACTAAAATCATATAAGATCCAAACATGAAATACTTGCACCTGGCTTTTCTGCATCACGTTCTCGTGAAAATGGACTTAACCCTTTTGCGGTTACTTTTATGCCATTAGATCGAACCGTGGTGCTCGGGAAAGCCATTATATTTCTATACAAGCCTGAATGAGTCGTTTCCTGAGTCATTCTGCAAGTTGTGACTGCTATGATCGTTTTGCCAATTTGCCTGTCAGGGCTCCAGTCGGGCACGAATTAAGGGTTCCCTCCCTCGCAAAAGCAAAAAGTGAAGCATCGCTGTGGGGTTTTGTAGTAAATCTGGCGTTAGAGGGGTTAGCTGTTGAGTTGGCAGGGTCAGTGCTGGCTCAGGGACCTTGGTTTGTGACAAGCTGCTCAAAAGATTGGTGGCATCGTAAAGACTTCGTCTTGTGTGAAGGCTGAGACCTCAGTCAAGATAGTTTTTCATGTCAGTTAAGTTGTGCATAGCTACTTAATATCATGCGCCAATCATCCCGCCTTCCCTCTATTGCTTTAAAAAAAAAAAAAGAAGAAGAAGATGGAAATTGGCGAGGTGTGGTGCTCACGCCTGTCGTCCCAGCACTTTGGGAGGCTGAGGTGGGAGGATCGCTGGAGCCCGGCAGTTGGAGGCTGCAGTGAGCTATAATCACACCGTTGCATTCTGGCCCGCTATAGAGCAAGACCCTGCCTCTTAAAATAAAAATAGATAGGGC